GCTGAAACTGATTGCCAACAACTGGCTCTATTCGTCGCAGATGCTGGCTTGGGTGCCTTGGTAAAAACCGATCGCGCCGCGAAGAAAAAGAGTGTGACAAGTAGACGGTCACAAGACCAGTATTTTTATCTAAGCACCTGGCTCGTTGGGCAGATCCGCGGGCACTGACCTCAGTCGAAGCGATGTAAAGCGGCATCGAAAACAGCACCAAGCCATATCAGAGCAGACCAGTAATGATTAAGGTTGCAACGTTGGAATGAGGTAACTCTGCAGCATGCCCAGGTACCTACGCACGAACGAAGGCAAGTGACAGATCTCTATCAAGCAGTACGCAAACGAGCTAGGAGCGAGACATCCGCAGAGTCCTCCCCAGCAAGCACCTATGGGTGAATGCTCAAGACAAAAAGACACACATAACACGCGAAAGTGCAACATCTAGCAAGCTCTTAGTCGAACACATCTGATGAGCCAACTCCAGCCGCCACCTCTGGGACATGAAGCTGGCAGACCGTGGTCAATGAAGGCTGACGCAAGGACACGCAACGGCGGACGGAAAGAACAAACATGCGCAAAAGGCAGCGACATACAAGATCAGCTTTTAGGGCCAGACTTCTGTGGGGACATCTGCAGGTGGCACCTGTCGCGGGCACTTCTGGAAGATTTGTGGAAATTGCGAAGTGATGTTCAAGCAAGGTTTCAAACCAAACAAAACATAGAACACCGAAGGTTGACGCATCATCAAACTTATATCCTGGCTTTTGAGGCGCAGGCCTGATGCTGCACCCACTTCGTGGCAGCGCTTTGCATTTGGAGGAGGACACCAGAAGGAAGACTTGGCAAGGCAAGGCGGAGGTCTGCAAAGCTCAGGACGGACAACTGATGAACTGTTATTTGCTGCTGTTGCAGCGGAGGATTCCACAAAGTCCACTGGTGACAGCGTAGAAACGCAGCAAGTGCAGCGTCCTCACGCGGAATGGCCAAAGGCTGAGGTCGAGGATGGCTTTGGTCCGAGAGCCCACCCAAAGCCGAGGGCAACAAGACTTGAACAGGCTGTTGTTCAAACAAAGGTACCGGCTGGCTTCGCTGGGGAAACACTGGCCGCTGTAGCGACAATTGGCCTAAAACGAGGAACGCAGCGTGCATGTGCTCACAGGTTGCGTGGAGACAAAACTCGGCGCAAAACGCACAAAAGCCCTGCGTATGCGGGCTGAGCTCCTGCGCCATTGACTCTCGACGCCAGAATTGGGCAGCAAAGTGGCCCACTGCAACAACAACATAGGAATCCAACAGCTTCAAAAGCTTTTCCAAATCCAAAAGAGGCTGCGCCAGGCCGAGGTTCAATAGAGCGCGGGTCAAGGAGGTTTCAGAATTGGCCCGGAGAAGGTTCGCAAAAGCTTGCGCAAAACCAGAGGACGGACACTGCACGCATTGTCAGGCGTTCTGACCCAAGTTTTGGAAGCGTGGTCATATGTGGCCAGGGTGCGGCGCATGCACAAGAATGTTGTCCCATCATCATCGTCAAAACGGTCCCACGCCTGCACCCTAAAAAACTGTTCCGCCGATGACCGGCCTTGCCGGGTCAGTGCGTCCGAATCCCACAAGACCATCTTATCAGGAAACGGTTCGGCTGGCATGTCGGGTAGGCACGAGCCCGCTGCACGCAAGTCCATCAGACGTGACTTAGTGAAGCTGGCTAAGGACGATGCGAAGGATTGCAAGCTACTGCGGAGGCCGAGGTACTTTTTAAGCTTCCAGCGGTGCCATGACTCCTGCGCTTGTGTGCCGGAAGCGGATCCAGGCTGGATTCGCTGCAGGCCACACCACCACTCAGCGGTGTAGAACGTAGTTGGTTCTCCGGGCCAGTCAAAGGCTCCAAAAGCAGTCTGGGCTTGCTGGCGCGAATGCTTGACAAAGTAATGCCTCTGCAATGCTTTCGCTGCTTTCTCTTCAGGGGGCTGCTGCGAAACAAGGGTTTGAAGAAGCAAAGCAGTGATGGAATGAAAAAGCAGAGCTGTAGGAACACAGCGAAGACAAAAGAACGCTCGCTCCACCAAGGGCAACAACTTCAGACCACTCTGCGTCAAATGGCTTTTCACTGTGGCAAAGGCACCTGTGCGGAAGGTTTTGATCCTCTCATCTGCAGGCATCAAAGCTTTTGTGGTCTTGGGGCGGTTGCAAACACCAATGACATGTGCCCAGTCGGTCACCCGGCTAGCGCAGCGAAACACCGACTTTTGAGCCAGGTCCTCACCAGGGTGCAGTCTGCATGGTATTGGTGACAGGCCGAACGTAAATCCACATCTGCAAAACGGTCAGCGCACGCACACAAAGCTTCAAATAAAACCTGGTAAGTCGTCTGACTTTCTTTGTTGGCAAGACCGAAAACAAGAGGATGAAAGACCGCGCGAAAAGCATAGACGCCCTCGGATGCAGCATAATGCTTGGACAAGACACCTACAGTCATCAAGACCCAATCATCTTCTGTCAGTCTAAATGTGCCATCTCCGCACAATTTTATGTAGGTCTTGTTTGTCAAACTGCGCAACGTGTCTTGCAGCAACATTGGGTTGCAAAAAACTACTGCTGTGTGTTCGGGTTCCAATAGGAGATCTGCAACCTTTAGCTCATTTACAGCATCATCTACACCCTGCACAGAACCCAGTTCACGCTCCAATTGTCTCCAGTCTGCAGCCACCCACTTGAAGGAACTGGCACGGGAAGCAGCACTGCCCTTGTGCACGCGGTGGTTCTTTCCCCACGTGCGGAGCCAGGCGTCTGACGGGCGGTCCGGCTGGTGTTGCTCGACGACCCGCACAAGGTCTTGGGTTGTGAAACGAGTATGGTTTTGCACATACTGCTTCAAAGCATGCTCGGCAGTAGCAGTCAGAGGATTCCATGCCCGTGTGGCACTAAAATCGCCGTGGGCAGTGATTGGAGTGGACTTCCTCTCAATTTCATTCTCCGGCTGGTTGTATGTGCAAATTGCTTTCCAGCCCTTCCGATCCTGACATGCATCGCAGGAATTGCACCAGAGGTAAGCCTTGAAGCCGTGTGCATGTGGAGCGCATTGGGACCGGATTCTCAAATTGTGCCCGGGTATGAGAGAACTTGCCCAAGCTTGCTCTTGCTTCAAAAAATCGACTTTGGACAAGGCGCGCTCGCACGGCAGTGTGTACCGCATGGTGTAGAGAGCAGCAACCTCCTCAGCAGAAGGACGACCCCGACGTGCGTCGTTTTCTTCAGCGTTGTCTGCTGGCTCCTCCCCGTGTCTTCCACGTTTTCCTGCGCCATGCATTGGTGGAAGTGGTGAGCGCTCAGGACGTGCATCCTGACCAGCAGACTGCGGGATTGAAGACGGCCAGAAAGCCTCAGAGACTTGTAGGTCCAGAAGGGTGGCTGAAATCGCTGGAGAGAGAGGGCAACGATGGAATTCCACATATCGACCCGTCCCTCCCTGCCGTCGTTTCTTTTCTTTTAAGTCCCCAAGGCCCAAGCAAACAAGCTCATTCAGCAAGGCTAACCTGTCCTCGCGCTTGGCAGACCCTCGGAGCATGGCGAAATGGGTGCTGAGGTGCGTCTCAAGAATGGGGTCTTTGAGGCACGTCTCCAAGACACGGGCTGCCATTGGCCGGACTTGCTGAGGCGAGGCCAGAC